TGGCTGGCTGGGGAATTCTGGGAGTTGAAGTCCACCCACCTTAAAGTGCCCAAGGTTGAAAAATACTGCCCTAATACAACATAGATGGATACCTTATTTCTTCTTTCTACCTCTTGCAAACTGAATGCGACGTCTGTTCCGAGTCTAGTCCGCTTGCCACCAGCAGGTGGCGGACGGCAACATCCCATTTTCGCCCGCCGCGAAGCAAGCCCTGCGCAAGGGAGCTGTTTTCCCGCCTCCCTCCCCTTCCTCTCTGTCCTCCCTTTCCATCCCAATTTGCAGCCAGCCCCGCCGCATCCCCACGGAAACTCCTCCCGCTGCACCTGAAAAAGGCGTCTATTGACAAACTTGGCTGAAACAAGCGAGGTGAGCGCTAGGCGAATAGATGTAGGATCGTGAGCTCCAAGTAAGCCGTCCAGAGGCAGGAGGGGGAGGGAGGAGCCCCCGGAGATACAAGAGGGGAGAATTGGCTTGTTGGTTCGATCAGCAAGCTGTGCGCATCGACTCGGCCCCCCTCCCGGTTCTTCCCCCGATTCACACCCCCTTTAGCTCTAGGAGCGCTTGAGCTGGCATCGCGCTGCACTGCGTGACAGCTCCGGGCTCCGAAGACGACGTAGCAGCAGCCGGGAGTGGGAAGCCAAGCCCAGCTGAGGAAGATCTGAGGAAGGCTACGCGCCGGCGATCGGCGGGGGTGTGAGCCCAGAAGGCACCTTGCCCTCCCTGATTCCCAGGGCGGCTACCGCTGCCACCGCCTCCTCTCCGATTCCCTCTAGCTCCTCTTATAACCCCACCCCTGACCTTCTTCTCTGGCTGCCCAAGACGGACATAAAGACAGAAGCCCAGAGAGAAAATAGCACCGGGTCAAGGAGAAATACCTGCGCATCACTTAGACTGCAATTGATGGGAAATACACATTTCTTTCTCTAGGGAAGCTCGTTCCCCCCCCCTTTTTTTTCTTTTAAAAAAAGAACCCGTTCGAAAGCAAAAGGGGGGGAAGAAGAGGGGTTCTGATCTGAAAGGAAAGAGAGGGAAGGGGCAGCAAGAGGAATCGGAGAGAATTTAACCGAGCGCTTCCCTCCCTTTGTTGAATGAGAAGGACGGCGCCGGATCACCATGAGCACCAGCAGTAAGTACGGCTCTCTCTTGATTTTGCGGGAGGAGGGAGTAGCGGCTTCTTTTGCACTCCGCCTCGCGGGGACGAGGGATCTCACAGCCGGGTGGGCCAGGTTTATGGGTCTGAGAGTGTTTTTTCCCGTTTGTGTTCTGGGATGAGAAAAGGTGGACATATTGTGTGGGTGGGTACACCTGCTGAGCCTCAACCCTGGTTCCCTCCCCACAGCTGGAATTTTGACAGCTGGATTTAAATGGGGGGGCTGTGTGCTGTCATCTCCCAGCTGTGGGCAGTCACATCCACAGATGCCTAACTACTCTAGGTTAAAATAGTACACTCACTCTTGTCTTCGGGCTCTGCCCCCACCTGTGCATCTAAGTAGAGATAGGCACAATCTTTTTAATGGCATCTCAGGGCAGAGTTCAGACCAAGAGTGACAGGGCTGGGGAATGAAACCATGACCATGTGTAGATGCATTGTTATGTTCCCAAACATTTCCCACTCTTGTACCAAACTGAAAAGATCTGTCTGTAGTGGACAGTAGTGGCTATTGATTAGAGTAAAAGAAATGACAAGAAGCATTAAAAGCACCACATCAGAATCTGGAAAGGAATAGAAACAGGTTAAGAAATAGAGCTATGTCAGACCGGCTTGCAGATAGGTGGGTGCCAGGTTCTATAGCACTGAATTTGGCAAATAAAGGACAAATCAGCCAAAAACGTCTGTTGCTAGTGTTCTTGTTACTCTTGCTGTTTTGTTTCTCTCGATGCTTAGTAGTATTTTCACTCATCTGTGGGGTATGTAAAGTCAATCCAAATCACTTTGTAACCTTCCTCCTGTGACAACTGGAGGAGGAATTTTCGCAGCTTTTGGATACAGAGATTTCAGATATTCCAGGATCTGAGGGCAGGGAGGAAGTAGCTGGGTCAAAAATTCTTGCTTAGTATCCTGGAGAGCTAATGTCTCATCTAGATTAACTAATGGTCTTGACAACAGTGTAGGTCTACATGTTCATAAGAAAACTGTTTGTATTAGTGTCCTTGGGATTTGACTTGAAATTGCAGTGAGCAAATATTTGGCTGGGGATTCCCAACACAAGGGCATCAGCCAATTAATTTCAGTGTCCTCCTTCAGGTTCCTCCCTCTTTCTTCTTGCTGTACTGGGTTGGTCCTAGATTTCTTGAGACAAACAGGTGGTGCTGGTGCTACACAAGAGAGTCAGCAAAGGGAAACATTTCAACCCAAAGAATGAGTGATTCTAGATTTCATATGCTATGTCCTCAAGAATAAACTGTCCCAGTGTTTTCCACATGAGTCACATCTGAATTATGTGCTAGAAAGGATGCTCTGCTAGTAGGCATAGATAATAGGTCCTACTAATATATTCTTCTCCATTCAGGAGCTGCCTAATAACAAAAGCCTGGAGCTTACCTGCACCACCCAACAAGGTGTCTTACTCAAGGCCAGGGTGTTTTCTGCCTGGGTGGTGGAAAAACAAGGCTGAAAAGAAGGGGGGGGCAGTCTTATCAGACACAAATAGCAACTGGGTGATGGTGGTCTCTTTCTGCTAGTAATGACTGTTTGTAGGATTAATGTTTCATAAATCCATTATTGTTCCAGGAGGGTTGTCACTCTCCCTCAAGCTTTGCAATTGTATGTGCTCTATGTACTCTGTTCAAAACCCACTTCCATAGCACCATTCTCCAACTCAGTGCTTTCTGTGTTGGGGCCGTGCTCCCCATTATACTGGCTATGGACAATGGGAGTGTAATTACCATTATCCATCTATAGAATGCTGAATGGGAAGAAGTTATTTTAGAAGTATAATTTAAATTTATCCTCTTTGTTACTATGATATTAGGAATATGAAAAAGGAGTATGGTGTTTTACCTACATCAAGATATTCTTGCTTAGCCTGGGCCTATTCTTAATTTGACCCATACCTGGCTGAGCCAAAGTGGGCTCAGCTATGATCAGCCTACCCAAACTGTGACGCCGCATTTGTGAGCCTTTGTCTTCTCCTCTGTACCATGACGTGATACTGAATGATGTGCTTTCCTCCCTCTGCAAAGCACTTTGTGCTCTTTTCGTATGTTGCAATGGATTATTTCTTATCATTCATGAAAGTCTGGAAAGCAAGAACTGCCATTTTCAGATTAATCCAAAATGTGGATCCCACGGACTTACTAGGTTAAAAAATAACAAACACATTTCTGTTAATGTGACATGACTGTTTTCAACCCGTGGAACCATGTATTATAATCCTAGTACAGTGCCAATCAGTCATTATCTTGGGTGGAAGGCAAGATCTTCTATTGCAATAATATTTCGTGGATGCAGCCTCCAGGAAGGCCCACATCAATGAAGCCAGCCAACAGTAGAAGGGATTTACATACTGTTCTTACTGCAGCAGAAACTAAAAATGCCGTGCTTTAATTAACCTTGTTGGAATGAATGATAACCATTACTTATATGGGAATAATGAAAGGGATGTTGTTGAGATAAAGAAATCTGCCAGTTCCTATTATCCTCAGCTATTGAAGATCACCCTGGAATTCTCTGTTGCTTGAACTCCCTAGAGTAACCTCCTCCAATAATGATACCATTTAGAAGTATTGGAGTTGACCATATTGAAGGACACTAGGTTGGAGAGAGTTGCCTTATCATACGATAGAAGGCTATGGTGGAATTTATATAAACAGACGTAGATCAGGGTTCATTTTGAATTATTGCCTTACCACAAGCCATGAACTATGCCCTTTAATACATTAAATGGCACAGTACCTCTTAGAGGCTGATATCTAATCATTAGTGCAAATATTTAGCTGCACAATTTGAGAACACATAGAAGAAAGTAGGTCCTATTCACTTCGAGGAATATACTTCCAGGTACATTGCACATCACAGTGCTAACTAAATATCTACTTTAATTCATCATCTTACACTTCTTTATTATTTTATTACTAGCTAAGACAGTTCCAAAAGGTCTCATCAGAAGGTATTAATTTCATACTAGGAAATCTCACTACTACAATGAACTGTTCTTCCTCTACAACAGGCTCTGTCCTATTTGTAGCATAGCAAACTCGTCTGATACAATGAGTTTTGGCTGAATTACAGGAGACCAAGAGACGCTTACTCTAGAGGCAATTTTTTCTTCTTCTTAGAACGAGGGTGAACCGTCTGTTGTCAGATTTCTTCCACCTGATATGCGCTGCTGTTGATCTGATTGCTCCTTTGAACCACTGCTCTTGCTATAAATTTGCCACTAAATTGAATCTCCCAATAAGTTTCCATGTCCAAAAACATCCCATGAATTCTAGGCTCAGTGAGAAGATACTCTTCAGTCATTTCACAGTAATGTCAAGCATTCACAACCCAGACATTGGCACTCAAACAGTGTCTTTCCTATGAAAAAAGCCAGAGACTTTCAAGATAGAGATGTAAGAGGTAAATATCTTTATGGTAAAAATAAGAAACCTTTAAAAAGTGGTTTAACCAAGGCAGGGCTCAATCTTGGGAAAGTTGACTTGAGGTCCTTCCATATTTTAGCCTCAGTTCCCTGTCTTTAAATACAGTTTAAACTTTGTATAAGTTTGTTATGAGGATAAATAAAATAATGATCACAAATCGACTTTGCAAACTAAATTGCTTGCACCTGATGCAGCGTAATGCCTCATTCTCACATTTTCAAATAGATCAACAAGGGATAATGGGCAGGAATTTCAACTAATATAAATTAGCACCAGACCCTATACATTTACATGGAATTATGGCAGTGTACAGCAGCTGAGTATCTTCCTGATACAGTGGATTCCACTAAGCTGCTTATTTCTAAGCCATGTGTTAAAATGATGTCAGGGTTCTGTCCATAAGAAGGAAAAGTGAGAGAATGACTCTTTTGTCCTAAACATCTCCTATTGTATTCAGTTATCACTAAAGACCTTCTTGGTGCAAAATAGCCATTGCATGAATGTTGGCTGAAATTGCCACCATATGATGAGTCTCAGTGTGGTGGGCTGTTTGGATGCAGTGGAACAGTATAGGACACAGATTCCACTGAGTAGTCTCTTTGGAGTTGCTGAAAATCATCAGCAGGCCTGGATGTTGTGTGATAGCTCCTTTATACCTGGCAAACCAGATTAACTTGTGAGTTCGGAACAGAACTCTCATACTGTTCTTGCCCAGTCTTAGAGACATGGGTATCCAGCACATCCATGTTGATTTATATTTCTTTTCTCATTATCATCAGTACATCTGTTGTTATTTCCATGGCCTTCCATGAGAAGATAACATACAATATATTGGAACAATGCAAACAAAGAAATAAGAATACAGTCTTCTTTTCATTATATATGGAGGTCATGACATGTTGAAACACTAGACCTTGCTGGAGAGAATTACATGAGAAGAAAGGCTCTTTGTTCCCTCGGTGATAGTAGAGTTAATTTGGCATTTGAGAGGATGGACTAAGAGCCTTAGGATTGTAATTTATATGCATAAAGCTATTGCTCTACATCTCTTATTGTCAGCACCACTCATTAGCTATATATAGATTCATAATGTTATAGTTCAGTGTTTCTCAAACTTGGCAACTTTAAGATGTGGCTGGCTGGGGAATTCTGGAAGTTGAAGTCCACACATCTTAAAGTTGCCAAGAAGAAACACTGAACTATAACATATAACTCTACTATCTATATAACTCTAATTCTCTCCAGCAAGGTCTAGTGTTTCAACATATCATGACCTCCATATATAATGGAAAGAAGGCTGTATTCTTGGTTCTTTGATTGCATTGTTCCAATATATTGTATGTTATCTTCTCATGGAAAGTCATGGAAATAACAACAGATGTACTGATGATAATGAGAAAAGAAATATAAATCTTGCAACTTTAAGATGCATGGACTTCAGTTTCCAGAATTCCCCAGCCAGCCATGTAAATGTATTTAAAAGTTTGAGAAACACTGTTATAGATACATCACTGCTTGCAAGTACTGCCTATCCTAACCCCT